AAGTAGGATAAAAGATGACCTCAACAACAGCTATCAAAACTTACTGAGGGACAAAGGGTTGCTGCTGTCACTATTAACAACAAGACCAGACTGAAGGGTGATGTGAGTAGTAACTTTGTGAACCTTATCGGCAGCTGAAATGTTAAATGTTACGAAAGCATCATTAGTGATGTTGCTGGAATTAAAGATGGCATTGCTATCAGTACAATCTAGTGCAACGTGATTAAATATGCAGTTTTTAAATTCTGCATCTTTTCTCTAAAATAAGAGCATCGTTTTTAATTTATTGTTAATAAGAACAACTTACAGATATCTTTATGTCAATTATGTGATTTTGAGACTCATAATCTAGATACTGATCTATCAGCTCTGTGTCATTGATTTCATCTTGTAATTATTAATCATAAAGCAATATCTTAGATACATAAACAACATACTTTTCTCCATAGGCAGGTTGCTTATCTTTCCTTCTCCTACATTATTGACAGCTGCTATACTGAAAGTATGAGTGGCCACCTCTTTAGGATAATATATCCATTGTATAACAGAGTCATTAAGTTTTGCTTGATTTATCATCTCGTCATTGCTGGTGACACTGACATTGTAATTCAAGATAGGAAAACCAGGCAGAGTGAAAGGAGCAATCCAGGAAAACGTATAACAACAAGAATAATAAGACAGTGTTAAATTATCAACAGGTGCTGGGATACCCTGTACTTTCAGTGTCACTGAAGAAGGACTAAAGTCACCAATACCAAACCCAAATGCAACACATTGCACTTCAGTGTCATTGAATGGATCCACTAGTCCTGGTATAATGAGAGAAGAGACTGGTGTTGCTGCTCCATTAACAATAACACCAAGTGAGGTCAATGTTGAAGCTGATACTGTTTCATTCAATATCCAGTTAATAAGAACAAGTGAATGATTTGATGAACAGTTAAAGACTGCTGTATCTCCCTCAGCAATAATAGGAGGGTCATGAGATGAAGTGAATGTGACTTTTACATTGCCACCTCCTAAAATGTTAGATTAATCTAGGCTTTATGACAGTCTATGAACTAACCTGTGGCAATACATATAGAGAAAACTACCAGCAACACAATCACAAACATGAGAGTAGAGTCTATACTTTCTGTCAGTTAAAGGGGTTAGGGCCAAAATTTAAAAATTTTTAATTGAAAACCACACTTAATTACCACACAAACCACCCACCTTTAATAACTATTAGAATTATACATACATGTAATTGACCAATCAGATTGCACCACTAAAGGTGTTTTATTTCACTTAAAAACTCCCTGGGAACTCATAGTAAACTCCCCAGGCTCTCATAGTAAACCTCCTGGGTTTCTTAATAATTCCATCGGAATACTCATTGTTTTGATTGATGATTAAATTTTTACAATGATTTTCATAATTTGCAACTATAATAGTGATTTTAGTTGTTTTTTATTATTATATTTAGATAACTTAATAGATCTAATATACTAACTAATATAGCATGCAAAATTGCACTGGGAGCAATGCAACAGGTTCATAAAGGTTTTAGTTTTGACTTTTTGCGATAGAAAGTTTAGTCATAGCTGAGATGCCATGGTTACTAAAAAGAGGTTCATTAATACACCTAATAGATCTATGTGAATCCTATAGTATATGCCATATAAGGTAATGACTGTACATTTTTATAGATACCATAATTTTAATCAAAAATATTTAAAATAAAAACTCAAGACAATGCACAATTATAAGGATTACCAAAAGTGCAATAATGAGGGATGCAATAAGTTAATTATATTGAGTGGTAAACTGTGTTTCTAGTTTATGCACACAGAGAGTGAAAGAGGAGATATTATTGCACCTTTGGTGATTGTTCAAATCAACGACATTTATAGCACAGCTAGCTATAAATGAGTTGATTTGAGGTGAAGGTGGCATTAAAAGCCACTTACTGCATCATCAACTGAAGGAGCAAAAATGAAAGTCTATATCATCATCTTGTGTTGCATACTTAGCTTCACCCAATCATGTAAGCATAACACACACACACACATACACATTATCTCTCTCTTTCTTTCATGCAGGCAAAGTGCAAATGTCTCTTAACAATGGATCAATCTTTAATGCGTCACAAGAAGTGGTTGTACAAGAAGGAGACCACATTTCTGTTAGCTGCAACTATTGTTCAAACAATAACTACATTAAATATCTATGGAAAACAAATCTCTCTGATAGTAGTCAAGTAGATTTGATAATTGTCCATAGTGGAAATTATACCACTAATATTGATACACCTCTCTCTTTTCAATGCTGCCAGAGTGATGGAGTATGGAACTGTTCTCCAAGTACAAATGTGACATTAAAATCTTAAAGTAAGCGTGCAACTCAACATAATTATTAACTTATTTTTTCTATAATAGATCCGACTGAATGCAATAGTACTCAGCCCCTACCAGTCACAGAGACAGATACAAACACAGAAACAGCTACATATACTGAAATGGTTATGCATACTGAAACAGTTACACATACCAAAACACCGGAAGTGGCTACAATGGCAATAATAAAAAATGTAACTATGACCGAATTCCCCGCAACAATTACTGTACACTCATCAATCTGTGACATAATGACAAGTACTAGTATTTGGAGTGCATGTAAGTTAATGTGCTATGTTAACTTTTCTTTAATCCCTTAATTGATGCATTGTACTCATAGATACTCCTACAATAGCTCACACAGTGACTGTTGCTGTTGTTTCCTCTACTTATACTGTCACAAAAATGACCAACTTGGAGACTACTAACAAAACATTAATTATCGCAACAAGTAATCATAACGTTAATAAATCAATTATGCCTATGCAAGATTAATTTTTTCTATTAACAGGTGCAGCTGGAGGTGTTTGCTTGATTGTACTTTTAATAGTCATCTTTTTCTGTTTATATCTTATCATAAAGAAGAAAAAACAAAGTAATAACTGCTATAATATAAACCATTATTATAGTTTAATTTAATACAGTGAGCATTGCACAAATACAGGCAGAACCACAGTACTGTGAAGTTTTAGAATTGGAAGAAAAAGTGAAAGTATCAGAATGTCAAGCGTATGGCAAACTTGATAAAGAAAGAGTAAAAGTATCAGAATGCCAAGCATATGGCAAACTTGACCAGTTGAGGATAACAAGAGACACAAGTTAATAATTATAATGATAATTATAAAGGCTGCAATATATGTGTATGCACCACAACATCATTATACAATAGTTTATTATTACACAAGTGAATGATTGAGTGTTATTCTATTAAAACCAGTTCTTAGATTATTAGTTGTATATACTGTTGAATATTGTACTCCATTAATAACTGGTGGATTATTAACCATAGTAACAGGTCGAGGATTATACCAACAATTCTCATCATCATAAAGAGGAGGAGGAGGGAGAGGGGAGGAAGGGAAGTCCAACTGAGCATATTCACTACCATCAACTGGTCTTGCTGAAAGAGGAGGAGTAGCTTCTGATGAAACGTTCAGCCTTGAAGGCTACAATGAAACAGAAAGATAACATGAATAGTGAAGATTACAATAATCAACATTCAATCACAATGAATGACTGGTATTCCAACAGTATAATACATTCAATATGTATCTTACTATTATGACACTCTGTGGTCTATCAAATGGCTCAGTTGCTATATTGAGTGCTGACTCATAGGATGGTGGAGGTGATAATTCATCAGCTACAGGTAATGATGCTAACTGATTCACAGCAGCCCATGCTGACAATACTGGTGTAGGTCTCAATGAGGACTAGAAATTGATTTTAAAAACTCATAAAGCAACTACAAATACACTAAGTAATAATGTATTTAGCTACACTGTAATGTGTGCCGTACATTAATTTTAATGCAATATAAATAAGGTCTCATAATGATAGGGGCTTACTCTTGTAGTCTGTGGTTGTACTGATGAATTACTATTATCTCTCAATATTAATCCAGTGTCTGATTGTGAACTATAAAAAATATTGCAAAAAATCAATCATTTTAAAGCTGATATTTGGAAAACATTCTTTTACTCATCTTCTATGCATTAAAATATTTTGTAGGCAGTTTTAGTTATAAGTACTATACACTGAGGAATGACTTACTCTGGTGAAGGTAGGTCTGTAGTCACTGTTGATGGTGATGATGTATTGAGAGATGAAGGAGGAGGAGCAGGAGGAGGAGCAAGCGATGGAGACGTCTTGTCACTAGTGACAGTTGAAGGAGTAACTTCACGTTCCAATTCATTGACTGGTCTACACTCATACCTTGAGAGAGAAAGAGAAAATAAAGCAGTATAATGTATTTAAGGTAATAGTATGATAAATTGTAATATGTCTGTAATTAGGGTTCAAAATTTTAACGAAAATGAGAATTGTTAAAGTTGCTTAAAAACTTGGTCAAAAAATCTTGTACTATAGTACAGCATACTTCACTGTCAAAAATGAGGACAGAATTCTGCATTTTTATAATTTTTTTTGATGCATATACATGTAACTTCTCATGCTTTTCACTGTGAAGGCACGTACAAAGTACAGTGTCACAATCACATCCTACATACACTAATGCAGTGTCTCTAATCGGGAATTTCCCCTAGATCTGGAATTTAAAATCTATAGCCCAACATACACTATTGCCAGTGCCTTTAATGTGGTCAGGCAACTTGCAGTCTCTGCAAGATGTTGCTCAATCACATCAAAGGTCTGACCACAACAAAGTATTTTGGGTTTAAGATTTGAAATCTAGCAATTTTTTCAAAATTTTAAATCTAAGCTAGATCAGTATAATTATTATTATGACTGTAGCTAGGCGTGGTTCAAAATGGAAGAGAAATTATAAATTCTTTTAGAGTGGAATGGTAAAAGAGTCACAGTTGAAAGACTCAGCCAGAATTAGGCTTACTAGGTTAGTTATATATTACATAACTCAAGCTGTAGAGTATACATCCTATTTTAGCAAAACAAAATTGCCTAGTATGGTCACTGCCCTCACAGTCTCACCATAGACACTATGGTCTCAAACACACATGTTTATATATACATCACATGCATATTGCAGTGAGATTCCTTGGTCTAAAATTTTTTATTTAAATTATAAGATGTTGCATTTTATTTGTTAGCATATGATGTGGCATATTTCCACATCATGAGTCATCATTAGCCTTTGTCATTGATGACTACTGAAGCAATGACTCATGAAAAATCTCAACAATTGTTAGTTTTGGTGCAGTATAAATCCAAACACAGTAGTGTTGACATAGTCTCACATAGCCTGATTGGCTACGTGAGACTTGTGTTGTGGGTGGGTGTTGGCT